AGGGGTCGTGCAGGTGGCGCCGGTGGTTCTGACAGGCAGCTGCCAGTGTGTGACAAGTGTAAGAAAGTGGGTCATGAAACCGTGAAGTGTTGGTCCGATAAAATTTGTGCTTACTGTAAAAAACGAGGCCATGAAGAAAACCGCTGTTATGACAAACATGGCTGGCCGGAGGGTGCTGCTGGCAGCCAGGGGGGGCCACCCGCAGCTAGTCGTGGTCGGGGAGGTCCGGTGAAGGCTAATGCAGTTTCGGGTGGTGGCTCGAAGTCGGAGGATACAAGTTCTTTTGCTTCGGGTCGTTTATTCTCTAGTGAACAATGGAAGGCAATTACGGGATTGATGGGTAATGCTACAATTTCTGATAATCGTTTGAGTGGTAAGTTTGATGACACCTCTTGGATTATTGATACAGGAGCTACACATCACGTAACTGGAGAAAAATATTGGCTTTTTGACACAAAAAGCTTCGAGTGCCCGGTTGGTTTGCCCAATGGAGACACGGTGTCGTCGTCTCTTATTGGCTCTGTTTGTTTATCGGACAAGATTACTCTCACCGGAGTACTCTATGTCCCTAATTTGAGTTGTAACTTGATTTCTGTTTCGCAACTCAACGATGACCTTAATTGTACTGTCCAATTTAACCCTTATATTTGTGCTATACAGGACCACACGAAGGAGCTGATTGGAACGGGGACTAGGAGAGACGGATTGTATTACTTTAGCAAAATGGATTCGGTGCATCATGTGAGCGCTGCAAATTCAGAGTTGGAGTTGTGGCATCGTCGTATGGGTCATCCTTCTGAGAGGGTAGTTAAGTTGCTTCCCACAGTTAGTAATAAAGCTTGTTTAAATAAAGGATGTGAAGTATGTATGCGTGCTAAGCATCCTAGAGATAGTTTTCCTTTGAGTGACAATAAAGCATCTAGAATTTTTGAAAGGATACATTGTGATTTGTGGGGTCCGTATAGACATGTTTCGTCATGCGGTGCTCGTTATTTTTTGACAATAGTTGATGATTACTCTAGAGCCGTTTGGATTTATTTACTGAATGATAAAACGGAGGTTTTCCGTAAGTTCTTGATGTTTGTTGCTATGGTGGAAAGACAATTTTCTCAAACCATAAAAATTGTGCAAAGTGATAATGGTACGGAGTTTAATTGTTTGCATGATTTTTTTGATACTACGGGTATTATTTTCCAGACCTCTTGTGTGGGTACTCCGCAACAAAACGGGAGGGTTGAGAGAAAACATAAGCATCTTTTGTCTGTTGGGAGAGCTTTGAGATTCCAGGCAAACTTACCTATTTATTTTTGGGGTGAGTGTGTACTTGCCGCGGCTCACCTAATTAATCGTACTCCTACTCCATTGCTACAAAATAAAACTCCATTCGAAATCCTATTTGATAAACCCCCTATGCTTGGTGCCATTCGTACCTTTGGGTGTTTATGTTTTGCTCATAATCAGAAAACTAATGGAGATAAGTTTGCTAGTAGAAGTCGGAAGTGTGTTTTTGTGGGCTATCCTTTTGGGAAGAAAGGGTGGCGTTTGTATGACCTTGACTCCAAAGTTTTTTTTGTGTCTCGGGATGTTAAATTTTTTGAGGATGTGTTTCCGTTTGCTACTCCGGACAGTGTTAACATTGAGCCTAATGACTTTGATTCTCAATATGCTATTCACGATGATTTTGTTGAGTTTGAGGAGTGTGATGGCAGTGTGGAACGTGATATGCCCAATGGTGTCCTTGAGGGCAGATATTTGGGTGACCATGACCCTGCGAGTGCAGCTACGGCAGACCACCAAGGTCTTGCTTCAGCTCACCCGCAGGAGGAGGCTGTGGGCGCGGGTTCTTCAGCACAGCAGTCCTTAAGCCATGATGAAAATGGCAGTACAGGGGCAGCAGATCAGCAGCCCTTGGGGCGAGGTTTTCGGGACAAAATTCCCTCGGTTCGTCTTCGTGATTTTGTGACTCACTCAGTTTTTGCTAAAAATCCGTCTCCCTCCATTCCGTCTTCCAATACTCCTTCAGGTACTCCTTATCCTTTAGCACATTATATAAACTGTGACAAGTTTTCTGTGAATTATTGTAAGTTTATGGCAGCTATTGTTGGTGGTCATGATCCGAAATCTTTTAGAGAGGCCATGAAACATGAAGGTTGGAGACAATCTATGCAGGAAGAAATTAGAGCCTTGGAAGATAACGGCACTTGGACCTTAGAGCACCTTCCTCCTGGCAAACGTGCTCTAGGGAGTCAATGGGTGTATAAGACAAAATATTTCTCTACTGGTGATATTGAACGACTTAAATCTCGTTTGGTCGTTTTTGGTAATCATCAGCAGGAAGGCATAGATTATGGTGAAACGTTTGCTCCAGTTGCAAAGATGACCACGGTTCGGGCTTTTCTTGCAATTGCAGCATCAAAGAACTGGGAACTCCATCAAATGGATGTGCATAATGCTTTCTTGCACGGTGATCTTGCTGAGGAGGTATACATGAAATTACCTCCCGGGTTTGAAGGTGCAGATCCTTCATTAGTGTGTCGCTTGAGGAAGTCCTTGTATGGGTTGAAACAAGCACCGAGGTGTTGGTTTGCAAAGCTAACAACGGCTTTGAAAGGGTACGGCTTCATTCAATCTTACTCTGATTATTCTCTTTTTACATATACTAAAGGCACAGTTCAGATTAATGTCTTAGTATATGTTGATGATCTTATTATTTCTGGTAATCATTCCGCTGCACTTGTTGGTTTCAAGGCGTATCTCAGTGATTGTTTCAAAATGAAGGATCTAGGTCCTTTGAAATATTTTTTGGGGATAGAAGTTGCTCGTAGTGCTTCAGGTTTATTTTTATGTCAACGAAAATATACGTTGGATATTATTTCTGAAACAGGTTTATTAGGGGCAAAGCCGAGTGGTTTTCCCATGGAGCAAAACCACAAGCTCGGTCGTGCCACAGGTGAGCTTCTTGCGGATCCGGAAATGTATCGTAGGCTTGTTGGTCGTTTGATTTACCTTGGGGTAACTAGACCAGATTTAGCATACTCCGTTCATATCTTGTCTCAGTTTATGCAAGCGCCACGCATTGAGCATTGGGAAGCAGCTCTTCGTGTTGTTCGTTATTTGAAGGGTACCCCGGGTCAGGGTATCTTGTTGAGTGCTACTAGTGATCTCACCTTGGAAGGTTGGTGTGATTCGGATTGGGCGGCTTGTCCCCTAACTCGTCGTTCTGTCACAGGTTGGTTGGTGTTTTTGGGGCATTCGCCTATCTCTTGGAAGACTAAGAAGCAACCAACTGTGGCGACATCTTCTTCAGATGCCGAATATAGGGCAATGTCTGCAGCCACTTGTGAGCTCAAGTGGCTTAAGGGTTTGTTGTTGAGTTTGGGTGTGCAACACCCTCAGGCGATCAAGTTATTTTGTGACAGTCAATCTGCTTTGCACATCGCAAAGAATCCGGTCTTTCATGAGAGGACCAAACATATTGAAGTGGATTGTCACTTTGTTCGAGATGCGATTGTTGAAGGCTTGATTTCTCCATCTTATGTTCCTACAACTTCTCAATTGGCCGACATTTTCACGAAGGCTCTTGGGAAGTCACAGTTTCACCATCTTTTGTCCAAGTTGGGCACTCATGACCCTAGTGCTCCAACTTGAGGGGGGGTATTGAGGATATATTTTGTGGGATATATTTTGTGGAATATTTGGTATTATCTTTCATATTGTTTCCTAATTTCTAGTAACCTAATTAAGGTATCTCTAGGAATTAGCATTGTATATATATGTTTTGCTCCAATTAATGAAAGGTTAAGCCGTAAGTTTACACAATTCTACAATAACCAATCCTAGTCCATTTAATATTATAACATACACCCGGATTTATTAATTAACTTCTTTCATCCATACTTGATTGTACAATTTTTTCTAACTCAAATGATGCAATTATATATATATATATATATATATATATATATATATATATATATATATATATATATATATATATATATATATTTATTTATTTCTTTTTATTTTTTTTTTGAATGAAAATGATACAATTATATAAAGTGAAAGTTCGTTTAAGAAGTTTAAGGCTCCAAATAATATCTAAGAGTACTTTAATTATAAAACATAGTGGCATAATCTATGAGTTGTGATTGTAATAAAGCAACATTCACCATAATAATTAGCTAGTCAATTATTGAGCTAATTTAATTAATTTAAGTTAGTCGACATCCCCTTGTATTATCTGCATGGTTGTATATATGTTTAGTAAGTAGGGTAATTGCATGATACAGTTTGTTGGTGTGGTTTAACTTTACTATTTATAGAATAATTATAATTTGATAAGAAGAGGCCCTTAATTAATTAAGTATAATTAATTAGGCGATATGTTTCGAATACGAGTCATAATATATCTTTCACTTTCATAAGAAAAAGTTATATTATTGTGCCATTTTAGTAGAGTGCCATGTGGCATAAGAACCAACATAAAATGCAAAATTGGTAAAAGCTAAAGATATTGGCTCATTGACCCTCAATCAAAGACATAAACTTTGATAATGACATCGTTGAACTTCTAATTAGCCTTATAGGATTCGATTTTTATTTTAAACATAATATTAGGTAATCATCTTTATATTTAATTTAGGAAAAATATCAAATTAGCATTTAATTATAGTATATACATACTTTTACAAAAAAATCAATTAATCACTTCAATAATTATATTAATTTGAAAGTCTGATTCTTTTTAGTGTTTTAACATTATTCGCCACTCAGTCCTACACTACAATGCTTCCTTGAAAATCAATAAAAAAAATTTACTTATGTTGTTATAAATCTCAAAAATTAATTAAATAGTCTAATTTTTATCTGTGTTTTTATCATTTTTTAATACTCGAACCTACTTAAAGTACTTACATGAAAATCGAAAATACTTTATGTTACATTGGTACACTATTAATGGACTTTCACCCACTATAAACTAACTGTTGCTAGGTTCTCGTTATTTTCAACACTCCATTAGGCTGACGCTGAGGTAGCTCGCACTTTATTATATAAAGGCCAACATCATGCTAACTCATACAACAAGCTCTACCTTTCATTTCTTGTTCTTAGCTTCAATCTATCATATCCCATCTTCTTCGCCTTTATTTTTATTTTTTTCTCTCCTATATTTGCATGTGACACATTTTCTACATTAAATTGTTCATACATCATCCTCATCTTTTTCTCTTATATAATAAAATTCTAAGAAAATTAGATCTTATCTTTTTTACGTACGTTTTGCTATTACAGCCTAAACAAGCCCTTACAAGTTTTCAAAAAAAAAAAAAAAAAAAAAAAAAGTCCTTACAAATGATGCCTATAGAGCAAGATCCAACGTCTAATACGGGTAGTCCAACCATTAACAATCATCATCATGCTGCTAATTGGAATATTTCTGAGGATTTCTCGGTTCATATCGAGCCCTCGGCCTCAAACCGGGCTGTTAGTCCTTGTTTAGAGGACTTGGAATCCTTCAATCATCAACAATCATCAGTTCCTTCTCATTTTTCCACTTTGCATGGATCCCTCCGACCTATCACACTCAAGGTTTCATACTTATGCTCTATTTTATACTTTATACTTATAATTATAATAGTTATGCCGTTATATTACTTATAAATATCTAATCTAGCTTATTGCTACATACACTAGTATAAGCTTAATCAACTATTTTTCATAATTTAATTTATTTACATATTTATCTTAGAGTTGAACATCTTAGGAGAGCTCATCTTAAAATTAAGGAGAAAAGTGTCATTAAGATTCAACTTCATCTATATATGTCATAATTATACATTATATTGTAATTAATAAACACACCTAAAATAATGTGTACATGCTAAATTCCTAGTACACTAAAAATTTACGAAAAGTCATTTTTTATAGCTAGGAGCAAGCAAGTATTTGCACAATATTTAAAGAAAATATAGACGTACGATTTAATTATGGAGTTCAAATTTTAAGCTATTTACATATCTATGGAGTGAAGGATAGCTCAAGTGGTCAGAGCTTCCCTCCCGATTTCAGGAGATCCTGGGATCGATTCTCACCCCCGCCCTTGTGGCTCTCTAAACACCAAAAAAATTGTGGAAAAATATTACAAACCATTACTATTTCAAGAATGTAACAATATTTGTTTGGTAAACGAAAATAAAAGTACGTATGCTCATATGTGACTATAATTTTCGAACAAAGTAGATCAACATACTATTACTAGTTTACTACTTATGTCTAAACATGTTTCCCATCTAAATAAAACAAATAATGTAGGGCTTGTTTGACATCAGATTTCGTTTTTCAGTTTTCTGTTTTTTTGAAAACCAAAAACTAAAAACAGGAAACAAGAAAAAGGTGTTTCCACTTTTTAGTTATCAGTTTTTAAAATTATTATAATTTTAATAAGTTTATATAATTTTTGATTCATTATGGGACACATATCATATACTTTAGAAAACAACCAAAAAACAGAAAACCACAGCAATGCCAAACGAACCCGTAATATAACTTTTTTTTTTTTTTTTAACCACATTTCCTAGTAGTAAATTGAACCATATTTGTGCTAATTAGGCTAATGACTATTGTTTGCAATATTGCAGTTCCAAGATGTTACTTATAATATTCCATTGCCACCAGCAAAAGACTCCCCTTATTGTCTCGGGCCATCGGATCTGAAGCTGACCCGAGTTATACTCAATGGTGTGACGGGGATTGTACGCCCTGGCGAGCTCCTAGCAATGCTAGGACCGTCAGGTAGTGGCAAGACAACCCTCCTCACGGCCCTAGGAGGCCGACTCCCGGGCAAAATTTCTAGCGGGTCAATTACCTACAACGGGCACCCGTATTCAGGATCCATCAAACGTAAAATCGGGTTTGTAACCCAAGATGATGTGCTCTATCCACACTTGACCGTGGCAGAAACATTAATGTACACGGCCCTTTTAAGGTTACATAATAAATTGACCAAACAGGACAAAATAGACCAAGTAGAGATGGTTATTAACGAATTAGGTCTAACCAGGTGTCGAAACACTATGATTGGTGGGGCCCTTTTTCGGGGGGTCTCAGGAGGGGAAAGAAAGAGGGTTAGTATAGGTCAAGAGATGCTAGTGAACCCGAGTTTATTATTATTGGATGAGCCCACATCGGGGTTGGACTCAACCACGGCTCAACGGATCATGGACACCCTTAAGAGTCTAGCCCGTGGAGGACGGACCGTTTTGACTACGATCCATCAACCATCAAGTAGACTATACCAAATGTTTGATAAGGTGGTTGTGTTATCCGAAGGGTGCCCTATATATTATGGGAGTGCTAGCCGTGTTATGGACTATTTTTGTTCAATTGGGCTAATGCCCGGGTGCAACTTTGTTAATCCGGCTGATTTTCTGCTAGATCTTGCCAATGGTACGTACACTTTGCTTGCTTTGTTCTTTTATGAATAGTCTTTTTGGTTTATAATTATGTTTATCTCTTGACATGTCAAGTAAACAATCACATATATTATTGAAAATTGATGTGCGGATTTGAAAAAAAGTTAAGAGTTTTTATTTGATCTCCTAGTATGCTACTCTATATTGAAAATACATGACAAAGTATAATAATTGGTCTAGATAGATAGTATCGAGAGACTTTTTGATGGTTGAAATTATACGTTTTATATATAACTAGTTTTATGAAACATGCAACCAAATTTGTATCAATAAGAAGGGGGAATGACGATAAACAAAATGAACAATTATCTTTTTTTTGAGTAGAAAAATGAACAATTATCACTGGTATCTATATTTTATTTTTCTAGAAAATTATGAGACAGTTCTTTAAAAAATCCAAAAAAAAATAAAAAATATTATGGGATAGTCACAAAAAGTAATAGAAATGACATGTCCCTATGGTTATGTGCTTTTACATTTTACATACTTCTTTCGTCTATCATTGAAGATCTCTACTTTCCATTAAATCCCATGAGATCTTCATACCCATAAATTTTCTCTATTTCAATTTTAGCATTGGAGAATTTCCTTTTCCACCAACATTAACAATAAGTCCACTACTCTCATATTTTCTTGGTTTTTGATGGTACACGACTTAGAAAGACATATGCATAAATTAACGAGAGGTCGAGATGATGATACATATGATGACAACTAATTAATTCTGAACAGAATAAGTATATAATAAAATAAATATGACCTTTTTGGTCAATAATGATGAAAATGAGGCATTGCAAGCTAATTGATTAGTGTTAACATTACATGAAGGTAAAAAGTCCTTTATTAATTATAGAAAGTCTCACGGGTGTGCTACAGTTGTAAACTTTACTTTAATTAATACAGTAAGTAAGTGGTTTATATATGTGGAAGTGATACTCGTGAAGTTATTTGTGTTATGGTTGTTGGAGACGTGGAATAATATAGCTATCTATACAGTACACACATTTCTTCCTCACTAGCTCCCATTTAACCCATGACATTATTGCTTAAACGCCTAAAAGTGATCATTTACAGTTATAAAGTGTCAATTTACTTATGTACATAGTAAATTGTACAAACAAGCAAGTTGTCTTACCACATAAAAAGATACATTTGTTAAGTCTATTTATTGTTATCATAACAGTGTTACGTATTTACGGAGTGTATATACTTCATACGAAGTACTTTCTATTTATTATTCAAAATTAAAATTGTATATTAGAGAATAAAAAGTATACTTTTAATTATTTTATTTATTACTCGGTATTGGGTAGTCCTGTCTAATAATTTTTTATTGAGATAAATTACTTTTGTGATATGACCACTAAATAGAGTCACACTATAAAAAAGTTTAAAAGACTTAAAGATAACCAATTGATGTATACCTTAAAGATTTTTATGGTATGGAAAATTTGTTCATTTGTTAGAGATTCTAATTATTCCACTTAGATTGTAGCCTTATCATGATTTGTGGTAAAGAAATGCTACAATTTTATGTAAAAGCACAATAGGATAATGTAGGTTGTTGCAACTTTATCATCTTTATTTATGTGTTGTTAATTTTAATCTTTTATTGTGGTATTTAAGTTGATGTAGTAACTTTACATGCAACATGAATAACATGAAAGATATTCCTTATAATCACTAGGGTTGTTGGTAGAGACTGATCAATAATGCACTATATATGCATGCATGTCTTCCTTGAGTTGAAGAATGCTTAAAGTTGAAAAAAAATTCAAAATCTTCTTTTTGATTTATCTAAATTGCAAAAGATCCAATAGAATTGATACAACATATGCTAATAAGCTTAATTTTGTGATAGAAAAATATGCACAACTGTAAAGTTGTTGAGAGTTGAAAGTATGATTTGGTTCTCCTTGTCACTTTCCATGAATTGCCTAGCTTTTTCCTATTGAATTTTGTCAGCTTCTTCTCACATTTACCTTTGCTGATCAAAATATCCTTCGAGTTTTATTTCAAGAGTGTAGAGCGAGTTAGTTGACGATTATCACTCCCAATACTTTAATCAAATAAGTTAGTTGTCGATTATCCACCCAATATTTTAGGGTGTGTTACATACTAGTTTTATGTTATGTTATAGCAATTTCTCTTACCTATAGGCAAGATCATCGACTGCCCTAATTGAAATTTGATGATGCATAGGTCACATAAATTTCACCTTTTATAAGTTGGTCAAACTCTTAAAGAAAAATCAGATAGTAGATAAGGAAAATCTCTACCCCAAATATAATGAAAATTTAATCCCGTTATAAATACGGAGAGTACTTGTATATAGAAAAAAATTTATTCTATATATATATAAATTTTAAGGACCAAGTCACTAAAGAGAAAGTGGGAAAAGAATTGAATGAATAGAGTAGACATACGTGCTAAAATTCTATATGCTATTTTAAGTAAAGTTGTACGTCTTTTGTTGAATTTTCATTATATCGATTAAAATTCTCTTCTTTACTTTTATGATTGAAATTGAGAATTATAAATTAGAAAAAAGTGAGAATCATGTCTATTCTTTGCATAATGAAATCTTACCTAGCTCCTTACGTAGTTTTATTCGTGACAATAATATAGAAGACTAAATTTGATACCAAATAATAATTAGATGCATTTTTTGCATTATTATATGAAGAATTTGTAGTGAAGACATTATTTTCGTAAATATATAAGGCATGCAAATATTCCCCTAAGCTTTCTAAGTTTATATCTGAGATTAATATTATTAGCAAAGATTTGACTTAATTATTCTAGTTACAACTTTAAATATAATTAGTCCTTTTTGTACATTAATTATATGTTATTCTTATGAAAGAGCACAACTTTAGTGAGAAGAATATATGACAATTTAGTTATATGCTTGTAAAGTCTCAATTGAAATTGCTTGGAATATTATTTCTAAATGTGTAATTCTATTTTTCTTTATTATTATGTTTTAGATAGACCTACATAATTATAAATATTTACTTATTAAAAAAATTATTAACAAATTTGTGTATAGATTGATAATTTATTGTTCAAATTAGGAATTTGAGTCGAGTTATATTGGCTCGAATAATAATGTGAGAACAATTAACGAATGTCATGTCACAACTCATATGATCCGTATCATCTATGTTTAGGTATAGTCCCGGACACAAGGCATGATGATCAACTCGAGCACCATAATAGGTTGGAGCATCACGACAATGCAAGTGCAACCAAACAATTTCTAACATCTGCATATAAGAAGAACATTTATCCTGGATTGAAGGCTGTAAATAAGCAAAGATCAGGAGATCATTCACATTCCAATTTGAAACCATCATATAAAAGTAAGTGTTAGATTTCGGAAAAACTCCTTAGCCTAGACAAATATTATAATAATCCTATAATATCTATCAGTATGCATAATTATTTTTAGAATTTTTTGTGAAAAACTACCTTTTATATATAACTTTTTGTGAAAAACTACCTTTTAAAAAAAAATGTTATAAATGACTACCTCTTTTTAAAAAAATGTAGTAAATAACTACCATTTATCGGAATCTTGCCGTTGACTTTTAATAACAAAAATTTAAGGCGGTCCGACGACATAATTTGAATGACTTATGTACCTTGATATAGTATAAAGTTTAATTAAATTTGGAAAATAATTAATGTACACATACAGGTAGTGAAGAAAAGGAATGGAGCACAACATGGTTGGAACAATTCAAAATATTGTTAGAAAGAGGGTTGAAAGAGAGAAGACATGAGTCTTATTCTGGTCTAAGAATCTTCCAAGTTTTGTCAGTTTCAATCATTTCTGGTCTTTTGTGGTGGCACTCTGATATCACTCATATACAAGATCAGGTTACTTCACATAATCTATTCTTTTTTTTTATAGAATATAGTCTTGAAAGATAATTGGTCACTTTTATTTTGATTTATAGCAACATCTGAAAATTTAGTAATTATATTACTCTCTCTGTTTCATAATGTTAGTCTCATTTGGAATCAATCACATAAAATAAGAAAACAAATATATTTGGAATATAACATTAAATTAAACCACAATTCATAATTAGTTTACCTTATTTAACTTTTTTGATTTTTTATTTGGAAATCACAAGTCATAATTGTATAATTTAAGGTAAAATTTCTTCACTTAGGGCCCGCCTGGATTGAGGGTAAAAGCCCATAAAATGTTATGGGTTAATTATTATGGGCCTTTTGGCATACCTGGATTGAGGGTAGTAATGTTGGCTCGTAATTCATTCCTCCCAAAATAGGGGTAAAGGATTACTCTTCCCCCCCCCCCCCAGCTTAACTTTTTACGGGTGAAAAAAAAGACCAGAAATTTTCATTTCTCTTTCACCTCTTGACCTTCAAGCACGAAGTAACCCTAGCTATGGCGGCCGACTGAAGCTTTCTCTCTCCTCATCTCCTCCTCTCCTCCTTTCCTTCGAATACTTTCCTTGAAGAATTGGATTTGAAGTTGCTTCCTTCTTTGTAAATTGCCCCAAATCGAAGTTATATTCTTGGAAATGGGCTGGAAATTATAAATCTGGTAACATTCCCAAACCTGACAAATAATTACCCCTGTACACTTTGTCCACCCCATCCCTTCCCCCTTGAATAGTTAGTGTTTTAATAATTACCCCCCTAATTATTCTTTGCAATCCAGGCATCCTCTTAGAGTCATGTCATCAATCCACAATCAATTAATTCCAAAAAATCAAGTTATAAATGAAATATATTCAATGTGAGTAGATTTTTTTGAAATTGTATATGGGACAAACATTATGAAACATAGGGAGTATTAATTTTCTTATTATGCGAATTAAAATACTAGTTTTAAATTAAAGTTTAATATTCAATATACAGTAATACTCCGTATAAAGTTGGTAAATTTTACTGAACACTGAGTAATAAATAACGATAGTGGTAATAAATTAGATAGGTTGATTTTGTATGTATAATTTCATATAAAGTAAAATCAAGTCAATATTTTTAGCTATATTTGTTCAAAATGAGATGGAGTAAAGTACATGTGACCTTTGTTTAGAAACAAAAGGAGTATAAATGTATAATACATCAAACTTATACGTCATGTTTTAATTTATACTTCCTCCGTTTTTTTTAGTTGACACTGTTTGACTTTTACACTATTCACATACTACACTTTGACTCGCTTTTGTGATTTATAGATATAATAAAATATAGTCATATGGGTTCTTATTTGAATTGTCTATATGTATATTTTATTAGTATCCACTTTTTATAATTTTATAACGTTAATAATTGAAGTTATTAAGCGTTAAAACATGTGTTGGCAACATGGCAAGTGTGAAATTAGAAATATGTCAACTAAAAAAAACAGATGACAAAGTATTTCATTTGATGTTAGAAAACGATCTAAATTTGATGAACTAAGTCCATTATGTTTCAATTTGGCAGGTTGGTCTACTCTTCTTCTTCTCTATATTTTGGGGATTTTTCCCTTTATTCAACGCCATTTTCGCCTTCCCACAAGAACGACCAATGCTCTCAAGAGAACGAGCCTCGGGCATGTACAACCTCTCAGCATACTACCTAGCACGTATGGTTGGAGACTTACCAATGGAACTCGTACTCCCTTCCATTTTTGTGAGCATTACATACTACATGGGTGGACTTAAGCCGTCCCCCTTCACCTTTCTCCTCACTCTTTTAGTTGTCCTCTACAACGTGCTCGTGTCACAAGGCCTTGGACTAGCCCTAGGCGCGTTGTTAATGGACGTGAAGCAAGCCACAACCTTAGCCTCGGTGACAATGCTAGTGTTTTTACTAGCCGGGGGGTATTACATCCAACACATACCACCTTTTATAGCATGGTTGAAGTATATTTCCTTTAGTCATTATTGTTACAAGCTTCTTGTTGGGGTGCAATACTCAGGGTACGAGGTTTACGAGTGTGGGTTAGAGGTGCGGTGTAAGGTGGCTGATTTTCCAACGATTAAGCAGCTTGGTATACACAATTTGTGGTTTGATGTTGTTGCCTTAACTATGATGTTGGTGGGTTATAGGCTCTTGGCTTATGCTGCATTGAGGATGAACTTATCTCATTAGCTAACCTTTGTAAGACATGTTTTTATGTCATTAAGATGGTTTTGAAGGATATATAACGATGTATTATGTTTCTTGTTTAAGAAAAAGGGATTGTGAAATAATTTCACAATAATTAACAAGATATTTGGTATCCATAAACTAGTTTTTTAGCAAAGAAATCCAATTACAAGTAATCAGCTTGGTATTATTGTAGTAATCTTGAATTAGTTTATTATATTTGGCTTGCTCAATTTTGTATGGATTGATTGTTTGATTATATGAATTTAATTTCACGTATTTTTTTTCTATTAAGATTTTAGATAATGTATTGTGTTAGGATCAAGTGTCCATTTTGCTTGTAAAAATTGTTGGGTTAGTCCGGCCCAAATTCCATGGCCCAACTCATTAAGGTTTCCAGACAATTCTTCAATTACCAAGTTCGAGATTGATAAGTTCTATAACAAGATTAGTTTCAACATTTGGAAGATTCTTATGAAGTCGTTCTTGATTGGAGCAAATTGGACGCTTGATGGAGTATGTGAAGCCATACACGGGGGATTTGTCATTCAACCTCAATTGGCGTGGCGTCCTCATCAAACGAGTTCAAGCATGTCACATTCCTCTTCACCCTAGATGTTGAATGTGTTATCAAGTGACCTATTACATACCCTTTTGGGTTCATGCGACGAGTACATGCATATGGGATTTGTTCCGAGATGGAGCTGAGATTGTTGGGTTAGTGTGACCCAAATTTCGTAGCACAACTCATTATATCTCAAGGTTTCTAGAAAACTCTAATATAATTGATGGGGAATTGTGGAATGATATATAATTGGTTAATGCTCATGAAGCTTCTAGATTTATATGGAGAATTTAAGGAGCATGTATGTAGAATTCTTCACACATCTCTTCCACCTCCATACATCACCTATAAATAGTGGTGGTATTAGGCATCATTTGGAAATATGTATACATCTACATATTCTCCAATACTTCGATACCATAGGTTATTCAGGCCCGTAGCAAGGGCAGGGCAACTGGGTGGCTGCCCTGTACCCTTGTTTAAAAAGTTCAGTTTCAATATAATACAAGGCCCAAAATATATATATTAAAAAAGTGTGTATTGTACAACACTGCAACAGTATGGAGTACTATCTAATTCCATAATATCAAACAGTATTTTCGTTCACTGCCTCTCTAATTTTTTGCCCAAAATTATTCACTTTCAACTTTTGTTACCCAAAAAAAAACGTCATCAATTTCAATGTATCCTCTTCTTTGGATAATTTTATTTTCTAAAATTTATCTCTTTTGGATTTTCAATCAAATTAATTTCTTCTCTTTTACGATTAATTGAATATAAAAATATGATAAATGTTCTTTTTACTCTTCAATTTTCAATGAGAATTTTTCTAATTATATATATATATATATATATATATATATATATATATGATCCTCTTTGCATACCCTACTTTATTCATCATGCTCTCTTATTTCAATTAAATTTTTCTTAATTTGTATAATTACTTTCATTTAAAAATAACAATTTTGAAATACTTTGCTTGAATGGTTCGACTGGTTGACTTGTTTCAACGAAACTTATATGAGATTATTAATCATAATAAATATCCTGTTAAAAAAATCATAATAAATTTTTTTTTTCTTTTTGCATACCCAATTTTTTTTAAACTTTATATTCTATAAGATTCCGTGTGTGAATTAGGGCCTAATTTAGGTTTTTTTTTCCAAGCCACTAATTATATAACATTCAAACATAAAGCTCAATCGGCTCACCGCCATTTGTCTATATAACACGCTTATGACTCTCAAAATCTCATATCAATGAAGTTATTTTTGCACCTTGTTATACCTTAATACTAACTCAACACATCTTGGAGCGAAAGATGATTCCCAAAGCTTTTATTATTTTTCGCTAATTCTAGTGTTTTAAACATGTGTTTGATAAGTAATATTATGAAGAATTCAATCCTATCTATTGTTAATTGAGCTATAAGCTTAGTAGCCTAGTAGGTTTAAATCCGTCTAACCAACAACGTATTTCAAAAAAAAAAAAAAATAAGCAAACAACGGACAACTAAATTAAACAAAAATTAGAATTTGAAGCATCGCAAGAAATCCTTGTATACGGACACAAGCAAGAACTCCTTGTGATCAATTTCACATATGTGGATTGATTGAGAAGAATTCACATAGGGCGTACGTGTTCAGCAAAATGTAGTTGTAGCTGTTAGCATTGATAGTAGTTGTTTATTGTATATGTAGCGGTTAGTTGTCGACTAGTTGTTAGATGTGAAAATAAATAATTAAGTATAAAATTTATATTAACCTTTTCACTAAACTCCAACCACGCACTAAAGTCTAGTCTCACTGCTACATTGTCAAAGAACCATACTCCACTGAATGGTTGAATAAGTCAAACTACTAAGGACGTGTTTTATTCATCTGATTTTTATTTATTTGAATATATCTTATTTTATCTGAACTTAATCACTTATTAACCCTTATTATAACTTAGGCCCTGTTCACTTCACCTTAAAAAAATAATATTAAGTAAAAATAATTTCAGTTCAGTAAAAATAAGTTCAGTTCAGTAAAATTAATTTCAGTTCAGTAAAAATAATTTCAGTTCAGTAAAAATAAGTTCAGTTCAGTAAAATTCAGTTTTCTTAAAGAAGAATTATAATAGAAAATCAGTAAAAATAATTTAAATTCAGTAAAAATAATTTAAGTTCAGTAAAAATAATTTCAGTTCAGTAAAATTAAGTTCGTTCGGTAAAAATAATTTCAGTTCAGCAAAATTAAGGTGAATCAAACAGGGCCTTACTTTAGTTATAAATTGAAATTGGTCAGCCCCTATTAACCTTATCACAACTTATCTGACCTTATCTTATCTGAAATTTTTTAAACTTATTAACTTTGATCTGAACTTATTTTTCCTGAAATAAGTGAAAATAAGGTGAACATAATAGGGCCTAAAAGTTTCGGAATTACCTAAAAGCTCTCAAAGGCTACTGCAAAACACACTCCCATTTTTTTTTTTTTTTTTGAGGGGCGAAACACGCTCCCATAACCTATGTTTTTTTTTTACCCTTTTAGATTTTTTTTTTTGTTTTTTTTTTGAGGGAATACCCTTTTAGAATTTACCTTTTTTTTAATTGAAGAAACCCTATTATAAACTTTTTTTTTAAAGGAACCCTATTATAATTTTTTTTTTTTTTTTTTTATTTTTAGGGAACCTGATTATAAACTTAATTAAGGGTTTATTCTCATTGACTGAACTCAGCTGAACTGAACTGAAATGAAATTAAATGAATATTTTATAAGAGAAGGAAATTAGGAGCTGAACTGAACTGAGCTGAACTGAAGTGAACTGAGCTGAACTGAAGTGAACTAAACTGAATTGAATTGAATTTCAACGTATGAGAACAAACCCTAAATGACAAGGTTAAAATTTCCTAAAAAAAAAAATAATAAAAAAAAATCATTAGGAGATTAAACGGTGCACATATTATAATTAATCTCAGTTAACATTTTACCCCACTCTCTCCTCAAAACAAAAAACTACCCTCGAAACCAGAGAAAGAGGTTATGGCGGAAAATTCTGCAGGAAGCTCCAAAACGCTCAAAAATGGCGAACGTTTATTACCTTCCGAATTGAAAGAAGAAATCTTCGCAAAACTCCCTGTGAAAGACATTCTACGTTCTCGAAGCGTGTGCAAACCCTGGAAAACGCTGATCGACAACCAAGAATTCAAGAAAAAGCTCTTTGAAGAAGCAAAACGCTCAAATTCAAAACTCATTATATGGCGTAAGAGCTTTTCATCCCTTGAACCCACTCTCCAAATCCTCTGTCCTCCTTTTAACAGCGTTTCACCTCCAATTGAAATTAATCTTAGTCAATTTCTTGATGATTCTGTTTTTGATGATTCTGATATTATGATTGTTTCATCTGGGGGTGTTGTTGATAATCTTGATTTTAAGAAATTTGGGGTTGTTGATGGGATTGTTTGTTTGGGTTGGAATTCATTTGTTGTTGTTTGGAATCCTTATACTAGGGAATTTAAGAGGTTTAATGCTCCTAAAAAGGATTGGGTTTTTGATTTACTTGAAGATTCTGGGATTAATTATGATGTTTTTCTTAATGATCAAATTTGTGCATTTGGGTTTGATCCAATTGAGCAAGATTACAAGTTTTTGATTGCTCATTTTACTTCTGCTTTGATAAATGATGGGAATTGTAAGAATAAGGTGTTGTTTCAGCTGTATTCTGTGAGGAATAATGCTTGGAGAGGGGCCGTTTTCGACTTCCCGTTCATTAATGGGGTTGTTACTGGTGATGGGTTTATGAATGATGGGAAGTTCTATTGGTTTGTTAAGAAATGTGGTGAGAAGATGGAGAATGGTAGTTTTAGTCCTGCTGTTATTGCTTTTGATTTTTGTAACGAGGTTTTCGAAGTGATCAAATTGCCTGTGGAATTAGCTCGTGGAGATGACACGATTGCTGTGGCTAATCGCGGGGTTTTGGAGATAATCTTGAGTTACGACGATGATAGGAAAGAGGAGGGTTCGCGCAGTGAGGTTTGGGTTATGGGAGATGGTGGATCATGGAGCAGGACATTGAGTGTTGATCTGCCTTGTATGGTTGATAGACCTATTGGAGTATTGAAGGATGGTGAGATCATGTTTGAAAAACCGAGTAGGGTAGATGGAGTTAAGGAGCTTGTGTTGATTGATCCTGCTACTGATTCGTGTAAGAAACTTGGCCTTGATGGAACAGAACTTTGGATGTTCAACTATGTTCAAAGCTTATTCTCAATCAAGCAATGAATGTGATGATGCAGTAGAAGGCGAATATCTTTTGTCAGTTGGTTTTCGCGGTTGGCTACTTATGTTGTTTCAAACTCTATGTTTTTTTGCTATCACCAGGATATTTTTTGCTATGCTGAAAATTGTTTAGAATATGCCTGCTATCCTTTTGGTTTTAGTTAAACAATGCAGGTCTTTCTTTATAGTTAAACAATGCAGGTCGTTCTTTATATCATGTTATATTCTGATATATTATGATTTCGCAGTAGTTTACTGCTGATTGCAAATGATAATTCCATCTTTGTTTCTCATATGCTACTGAATTTCAAATTTGGTAGATTCAATGATGATGCAATGTCATTAGCATAAATGTCAGGATTTAACTTGAAGTTGATGGTTCACGGCATACCTTTTAGATGTTAAACTGTGAGATTTTGAATTCCCATCATCATCTGTTTCGATCTATGTCACGTCTTCTGTCCCACCTCTTCGTGAATGGGAAATGTCACCAGCTTAAATTCAATCCCTTAATATGCTATTGGTATATGTTGATGGTGTGCCATAACAAGAGATAATGTGATCGAAGATGAGATAGAGGATCCCTAGCAACGCGGGAGTGATGACTTATAGGCTCTTTGGAGCATGTGTGTTCATAAAACGAAAGTAAGGATTAGCCTTGGATGAAACTGATTGAATTCGTTGAAAACTATCAGTTTGTACCTTAGAGATCATGGCATGCAATATTATCATTATTATTGTAGAAAAGCAGGAAATGTAATCATAATTGTCTCACAATTTTACTAGACATCATAATAAGTATGATGCAATAACAAACTATGGAATACGTAAACATTAAACACATGTATACGTACTTAAACATAACAAAATTTATTTTCTTTGAGCTTGTAAATGTTGGTCCAAGTAAACTTGATGAGTTGATGGTCATCCAAAGCCAACTTAAAAACTATGAAAAGGGCATGAAATTACTAAAATTATTTCTTACGCATGATGTCTCATCACAGTAAAACTGAACTGAGATCTCATGCAGCCTTATGCTAAGATAAAGATTTGATTTTTACAAAACCTACATTATCTATTGATTTATGCAGTATTCTGTCCTCGAGAGTTAAGCCAGAGTCACAGAGATACCTTATGAGTTTACGAGTACTTAACAAAGCTGGTCATAGTGTGTCAAACATAGCAAATTACCGAGTTTCATCTAGTTCATCAGAGATGTTGATAGCATTAGCCAGTGTTCCTCATCCCAGCAGCAATTCCATTTATGGTAATGAGCAACGCATCTCTGAGTTTATGGTTATCCTGATCACGCCTCAGCCTCTTTAGTACCTCCACCTGTAGCATATTTATCGGATTAAGATAAGGAAGTCTGCTATCGATGAGCCTCCTCAGTGTTCGATTTCCCTCCAACGGTTTCTCATGCCCACTGACAACCAGCACATAAGTCTCAGTAGTCATTAACTCATTTCTTAACTGCCCACCAAGCTCTCTCCTACACTCAGATACTAGCACATCGTTATAAAGCTTGGCAATGGGAATATCAGCCTTCCCCAGAACCATTTCTATAAGATCTATGGTGCTCTGGAAAAATGGCCATTCTCGATACATTGCCCGTAAATCATCTGCATGCCCATTTTCGCAGGAACTTTTCAAGCCTGCTCCTACACCAAGCCAGGCAGGAAGGACAAATCTAGTCTGTGTCCATGCAAAAACCCAAGGAATTGCACGAAGGTGCCCAATTGCAGTCGAGCTCTTTCTTCTAGTTGGCCGGCTTCCAATGTTAAGGTGTCCGAGCTCAGCTTGGGGAGTAGCTTCATGGAAATAAGCCAAGAATTCAGGGTTTTCATATACTGTGTTACGATAATTATCGCAACTAACCTTTGATATCTCCTCCATAAGGTTACGCCATTTTTCTTCTCTGGGTGGGAGAGGAGGACGCACAGTTGCAAGTAGTACAGCAGTGGTATAGATTTCCAGTTGCCGAACTGCAATTTGTGGACGTCCAAATTTCGCTTGCACCATTTCTCCTTGCTCAGTGGACCTGAGAGTACCCTGCAAGTTCCAAAAACAATGTCAGCCACTCGATTAGCAGCTTAATGAAAATAGGTTCACTTAAATGATGCATTCTTTCTGCCAGGTAACCGGCCATTTTAGGAGTATTACTAGGTACATAAATACATTAGATTTTGGGACTTTCTAGCATTCCAACAAACAGCATAAAACTTATGCAAAGCACTGCAGATACAAACATTGAAATTTATGGGATACTAAAAGCTGAAAGCTAGGATGAAAATATGTTACAGAAGTTTACGCAGATAAAATATGTCATTGAAATACTGCATATCCGCCAACTCAATGGATAAACTAATCCAAGAAGAGCTCAGTTTAGGTTTAAGCTTTAAAGACAATGTAGGAAAGTCCAGCTACATGTACACCGCTAACCCTAAGTGCGCAAATACTATTAGAAAGCCTAATTACAAAGACTCAGATAAACCGACATGGATTTGAAAAGTTAGCCACTGGTATTCTACCTACTTTTTCTTTTTTTTTTTTTTTTTTTTTTTTTTTGGCAAGGAATTCTACTAAAAACCACCCTGAAAAAGTAAAATGTACCTGGGTATGTTTACTATAAGTGATGTAGCAAGATTTTCATATGGAAAGAGAACAGGAAGCTGAATGTAAATCCATTGAAAAAATACATACCATGACAGAACCGGGAGGCTGTGACTGTATGGCAAGATACGTTGGACCACCACCCCTACCAATACTCCCTCCACGGCCATGGAAGAGAGTAACTTTAATATTATATTCCTTGCATGCAGCCACAACATCCTCTTGGGCTTTATAAAGCTCCCATGCAGCTGTAAAACGTCCAGCATCCTTGCCAGAGTCAGAGTATCCAACCATGACCTGGTCATGAAATATATTAAGCTCTGGATATATAGTCAGACTCCAATAGAAATTACATAATATTTGACAATACTTTTACCTCCTGGTGTCCATTGTGATTCTTTATGACATGCTCCCGATACCAGTCAATAGATAATAACTTCCGGATAACTGATCCAGCTCCTCTCAAATCCTGTACAGTCTCAAATAAGGGAACCACCCGCAACCTATTCCAACAATTAAGGCATTTTAAGTTTTAAGATACATACTTAATGATGACAAATCCCATCCAGCTTTCACCTAAATTATTATCGGAATTTTAAAACTATAAAGAGATTATCCCAATTTGTAGCAGGTTAAGCAAGAGAACGAAATATGCATGCAAAACTTACGTTCCACCAATGCATAGCTTGCCTTGCTCCCCACTATGAGTTAGTCGGGCATCTTTCTGTAGAAGCTCAACAGCAAGTACATCACTTGCCTAAAATATAACAACGGCAAACTCTTGTTAGCAATTTATGTAAACAATACACAGGAGGAGTTAACATCTAAATAACTGAGATAAATCTAGCAAAATAATCATAATTTTTCAGGGCCAGACATACATTGGATGCCATTGAAATAACATAAGCTCCGAGTGAATCACTCCCTAGTTCAGCTGCAACACGGAATGTGTCTAAGACCTCTTTCACGTCAGGAGCAACCTGACAACATGACAATAGCAAAGACATGATAACCCAACTGGAGAATCAAAGTATTAACAATTTAATAGCTAGTACATCATAAATATTTAGGACCAAGAAAACACAGCATTTAACCATCAATTAAAATTGACATAGTTTTCTACATTATGATTTTCTTCTCATAACATACTCTGTTATCAGGAACGATAAACTTGCATTAGGTGGACAGTATCAAGTAATTAACTAGAGCTAGTCTTTTCTCTTGTTGAAAGATATCTACCAAAATGTTTTCAACCAATTAGCTTAAATTCACATAGCACTGCAACAAGATACAATTACAGCACCTCAATACTTGATGGAACCAGAGGCCTCTTTCCTTTCAGCTCTTTTGTTAGGAATTCCAGTTTTTTCTCTTCATCCCACTCACTGTATGTACCCATGTCCAAGAAATTTGTGACTGCATCCAGTGCATCAGAATGTCGGCTAGATTCCTAGAAAGTATTCATGAGAAATATACACTAGTTAACGTAAGATAGCTAAATTATAAAGTTGAAGCTGCTTAAATTTACCTGTCGTAGATCTAGTTTCATAAGCACCATGCCAAATGTACTGACTCTTCGTATCAAGTCAGCTAGCCGACCATCAGCAAGCACTCCAGATCCACATGATTGCTGCAAAAGTGACATTAAAAAAACTAGAGAAGCATATAAAATAACCAGTAAGTGGGAAAATTATCATAACAAACCAAAGAGGAAGGGTGGACTAAGCTATACTTTACCAGAGAATCATAGCATAAAAGCAAGGGTTCCAAAAGTTGTTGACATGTTTCATAGTAATCAGAAGGATCTGCATCACAAGGAAGCTCTTCCAAAAGATGCTCCAAATGCTTCTGGGTCTTCATAAGCTGGATTACAATAACAATACACATGCAACCTTTATAAGCCAAGTATATATAATGGACAAGAAAGTTGAAACTTCAAATAGAAAAACACATCACTATGGTCAATATTATAGTGTTCCATTCCAGCTTAAAGCAGAATAAGTCCACGCATCCTAATCCTATCTTCAGCTCGTGATCTCCATCTAATTTATTAGCTATTACCTTTTATATTCCATGATGGTGATTCTATAACCAACATTAGATGGCGTCGTGGCCATCCAGCAAAACTGAGACTTTTTATTGAGGATATAGAGCTTTTTATTTCATTTTCTAAGCATACAACATTCAAAGCAAGGCTCAAATCATCAAAGATGAATAGATGATTGATAAGCTTTCTCAGTGACAGCCAGAAAGATCCAGCAGGAACAATTAGTGCACAACCATTGATATGGGAGTTACATATATTTCTCGCATTGATACTTTTAATATCTACAATTTCTATTAGTTGTTTACCAGAAAGCATTGCTATTACCTTGTCCTTCACATTTCCC